ATTAGCAGCAATACAATGCAAAATATGTTCTTACAGGCAGCTAAAATTTTGGTAGCAGTTATTTTTTTAATCATCTGTTTCTGCTGTATTGTTTTACCCGATTTTAAGCTACTGTATTTTCCATCACCTAGGTACATTAATTTTATTAAAATTGGTTACAGCAGCAACAATAGTAACCCAGTTATTACATATACATCCACTACAGCAAGTATGATATGAGAAACCAATAGCATGTGATGTCTTGCTGCATAGTGAGCCAGTTTTTACTATACATTTCCACATTGTCTGAAAACTCGAGAATCAGAATGTAATGGGAATGGAGGGTTGACACATAGCCAGGAACAACAAACCGTTTTCCATATGGCTGCACACACATTGCAGGCAACCAGTAATTACATGATAATTGGCAATCTACTGCACCCCATTGCTCCTTTAGATGTTTTGTTTTGTTTTTTGTTTTATCAAGGTTAGAACTGAGCTGAAAATATTCAGCCTTTTGGGAAAACATTTGGGATAATATTGAAAATCACCTCTCCATTTTATTTTGTTTTTGTTTTGACATTACATTCAAATTACTAAAATTACCTGAAAGTGTATTTCTGGAAAAAAAACCCCTCACACTGCATTTGGGGGAGGGGGGGAGGTTGCCACTCTCAAAGTATGTGACCATGTACCAGAACTGATTGGTTTATGTCAGGGAATTAAAATTGGGGCCTTGGGGTTGCATACAGATCTGAAAGCTGTTTCTACTTGCACTAAAATACACTTTTTCTAGTTCCCATACAAAACGATGGATTGCATCTTTTAAAAACTTCCTGGAGCAGTGGATAATTTGGCTTTTGAATACTGTAGGGCCCCGTTGCCCTGCACTGTTTATCAAAACCAAAAGTGAATACCTGGCTGCAGCAGGGAATGAAGAAGGGTATCCATCTAACTCTTGAAGGGACAGGAAATTGGCACCTAGACCCACAGTTGTTGTTGTTGTTCATTCGTTCAGTCGTCTCCGACTCTTCGTGACCTCATGGACCAGCCCACGCCAGAGCTCCCTGTCGGTCGTTACCACCCCCAGCTCCCTCAAGGTCAGTCCAGTCACTTCAAGGATGCCATCCATACATCTTGCCCTTGGTCGGCCCCTCTTCCTTTTGCCTTCCACTTTCCCCAGCATAATTGTCTTCTCTAGGCTTTCCTGTCTCCTCATGATGTGGCCAAAGTACTTCAACTTTGTCTCTAGGACCAGTACAACCAGACCCACAGTAGTTACCAGCTAACCCCTGGTTGATCTGGTGCTGTCAAAACATGACATTCAGTATTTGATTCCAAAGTAGCTGAGGTATATCAACAAACGGACACATTTTTCACAAAGAAAATGTCACTACTTGTAACAAAATCCAATAGGGCAGAAGCCCGGAACAGGATCAAAAATTACACATTCTTACATATATAAAACCATTTGGTAGAGAAGCTTCTATCTTCCTGCTAACTTATACTGGGCTGCCAATAATCTAAATGGGAAAATATTCAGCATAGCCTTAACAACAACATCAGCAACCAACTTTTCTTCCCACCTGTAATAAGTGTATCCAATAAACCTGATTCTGTCACCTGGGAAGTTGCCATAGTTTGGAGTTTTTTTTTCTCCCTAAATTGATATTTAAATCTATGATGGCATAAATTATGTAATACAACTTGACTATAAGTGCTTCATCTCTGTTCTAAATATCTATCAGATCTAACAACTGGAATCTTCAAAGCAAATCAAGGCCATTTCACCATCTCGATGAATGGACATCTTGAGAGCTTGTAAATAAAAAATATCAATGATCCACAGATAGGCTGCTCTTCATCCAATTATTAAAAGGCTTCCACAGATCTGGCATATTGCCAAATTTAAGGCAGAATTCCTGAAGATATTTAAAAAATAGGTAGCAGCTTAATGATGACAAATATTTTCAATTATTCCTTTAAGAAGATCTTCCTCCCCAAAAAGACAATTTTGCATTAAGGATAAACTTTTTTTCCCTATTAGTTGTGCCTTAAATGTGTATAATTTAGTTCAAGAGGTTGCTAGCAGACACAGGAAGACTGTCTCTCAAAAAAGTAACAATTTATCATGCTTGATATTGCAGTATGCAATACTGCATTAGCAAGGGAAACCTAGCTACCTGTTTTTTTTTTCTTAAGCTGAAACAATAGCTTTTTTTTTTTTAAAGTACAGCTCAATCACATCCATGGTGCTTCAGCAATACATCCCACTGTGATCAGTGATGCATACAAATAAGGAAATATTCATTCAGACCAGAAAGAAATGTAGTATGGTGAAGAATTCATGAAATTGTCCAAGTATTTAAAGAATAATTCTTTGTCATACTCCTTCCACCAACATTGTTTTTTTCAAAACACTTTGCTTATTTTTCAATATATTTACTCAGGATTACATTGCACTGATTCTGATTAGACAGGCAGACACAGACATCAATGTCTGATTCTTCATCCCCTAAATAGGAATGGTACAGATGCTTTTTAAACCTTTGGATTTCCTTTTTATATAGCATATTCTTCTCAGATAGTAATGGTGAGGAGTATACACATCCAAGGGTTAAAAAATATCCTAGCAGCTCTGGGTTGGAATATCTCAGAATTCATGTTTTTTAACAAGTCTGTTTTCATAAAAGTCCTTTCTTTGAATGGTTATTTAGCATTGCATATTGTTAATTAAATATTCTGATAGAGAAATGACCAACCATTCTATAAGACTATTTACTGCTCTCTAATTGCTGTGCACTTTGTGTGGCAATACCTGCTGAATGGCTGAATTTTTATAGTGGCATCCATTTTGGATTTCCCAGAATTCAAAAAGCATGCCAGAGCAGAGCTTTCTGAGCAAAATAAAATGGCAGTCATTCTGCTTCTCTTCTGGCCCAAAGAATTTCCTACCACATCCCAGAACAAAGTACATAATTTCGTGAGAAGTAAAATAACCGAGGAATGGACCTTACAATTCATTGACTCTCTTTAGAGTGGTACCTAGTGATCATCATCACATACAGCAGAGAGAGATTGTGTTTTCTACTACCATTTTTGAGACAAAGGGGTTCAGTGGAAAAGTACATAGCTCTGTGGTAGAAAGTTCTAGGTTTCAACCTTCAACACCGTCAGTTTGGGACATATAAAGTTTTTACTTAAACCCTTAGACATGTAATGTCAGTTAGCAATACTGATCTTAGATGATAGACCAACTCAATATAAGGCATCACTGTGTCTCTTTTTACAGCACTTTAGACCACATAACCATACTTTTTTCCTTTGCTTAAAGAAGTTAAGGCTTTATAGGGAAACAAGTCTCCAGATCAATGAGTTTAGAGTAATGTAACAAACATTTTGCTGTATTTTTGCATTATGAGTAACAAGCTTGACATGTCACCACCATCCCAATGTCCAGAACAGTTTTGAAACTTTTTTCTTAAAATGGAGAGATAAATGCTATTTTACAATTGCCCACCTATCGCAAACTGCCCAGAAATCATTTGTTGATGAGTGGTAAATTTAAAAAATACACAGAGAAATATGAATAAAATAATTCAAGCGAATGTAATGCTTAAATCAGGAATAGAGAAAGCATTTTCAATGGGCTCCAAATGAATTATTTCTGCTGCCACCCATGAAAGGCATCCATGTCATCTACCAGATGTGATAGCAATTTCAGCATGTCCCCCATAGCCAGTTTCATGCACGTTCTGATTTAAGTTAAGTCCATTTTCAGGCCTATTCTTAAGAAGTGCCCAAGATATGGCAAAAGTAGTTCTGTCCTCTTCCTTTAGGGTGCAGGGAGGTGTTTTTAGTGGAGCTGTGGTGGTGGGCATGGACCTCAGATATCAGATAGTTGTCCACTAGTGCCCTAAATGGCAGGATTGGTTAGCCTAGAATGCACTGCCTTGCCAGCCTAGTGACTTTCCCAACTCTCTTGATTTGCATAGGATTATGGGAAACAGCGGCAGCCATGAGATATATCCTGGACCTTATTATGCTACTGCTATTCATATAGAGCGCTATGAGTCAATTTTGACTAAAGTTTAAGAATTCAGAAGAAATTTATAAGGTTGGGTTGCTGTGAGTTTTCCAGGCTGTTTAGCCATGTTTCAGAAGCATTCTCTCCTGATGTTTCACACACATCTATGGCAGGCATGCTCAGAAGTTGTGAGTTCTCTTGGAAACTAGGCAAGTGGCGTTTATATATCTGTGGAATGTCCATGGTGGGAGAAAGAACTCTTGTCTGCTTGACAAGACAAGATTTCTTTCTCCCACCCTGGACATTCCACAGATATATAACTTCACTTGTTTCCAACAGACCTCACAACCTCTGAGAATGCTTGCCACAGATGTGAGTAAAATGTCAAGAGAGAATGCTTCTGAAACATGGCCATACAGCCTGGAAAACTCACAGCAACCCAGTGATTCCAACCTTGAAAGCTTTCAGCAACACAATTTATAAGGTTCTTCTCAATTTAAAAGTCGGTCATAATTTAAAAGTTTTGTACATGTAAAAGTATCAGAAAAGTGAGTTCACTGGGCTCTGTTTGCATGTGAATAGGAATAGGACTACAGCCTAAGGCTAGCCTAAAGCTAAAGATGCTTATTTCCCTGGAATTAGCCTCAGTGAACACACAGGGTCTTGGTTCAGAGTAAGTATGCCCTGTAAAGAATTTCACTTGCAAGCTGAGGAGGAAGCAAAACATTTCTGAATTGCTAGTGAATTCTGTCAAAACCAAAATTTGAGAAGCATCTTGACTGTCGCAGAAAGAATTGCGATTTAGAAGAACATAATCTCAATAGTGAAAAGATGACTACTCCTATCTTTAGTTTTGATATAACCAATGGGATGCCTGGCTATGGAAAAACATTTTGGAGGCTCACTAGGCCATTTTTCCACATAGTGAATGCTGCCCAGACAGAAACGCCCCATCCACTGATTCTCCTTGTAGCGTGCATGCCGTTTCCCTTACCTTTCAAACTTTTTGCTTGGCATGGGGGGTTTACCCATTCTGCCTCACTCCTAGTTCTTCCAGTCAGCTGTTTTCATATCACATTTGCAGTTGGGGTGACCAAGGGGGAGCAGATGTTCTGCGGCAAAACATCTTCACAGAGAGACTGCTTCTCTCAGATGCTTCCAGCATCCATTGAAACATGAATTGCTACCTGCTTTGTTCCAATGTTGCAGCAATAGAGGGGTTGGGGAGCAGAGGATTGTGTGTGCTATAGCACCGCCAGACTGAGCCAAGTGGTGCTCTTATGTTCGTCAGTAGCAGTCTGTAGCTAGGGAAACCCCATGGTTTCCTAGCTATAATTCTTTAGCTTTCAACCTGTTGCTAGGGAAACCCTGGTATTTCCTAAGCTCAGAGCTGCCTCATTGGTGCCTGGACTCTTTCGGTTGCAATTCGTCTATGAAATCGACAGAGTGGTGTGACAGAAAACCTTCCTATAGCTTCAGCTGAAAGCAGTTTGAATTTGACAGAAGAGAAGAAATTCCGTGCTGTTATTCTAGTAAGCAGCCATCTTTGGGATGCCAAGGCATCCCCTGTGGTATCCCTTGAGACGCAAACAGTGAGTTTCTTGTGCATAAGAGGCAATGATGAGCTTTGCTAAATGTTTTCCTTTGAAAAACAGGCACAGGTAAGTGATGAAAAAATGGCTTCGGGAGCTGGGAGAGCTAATACACTGTACAGAGAGAGTTGCAATATGAGGCAATCATACTTAATCCAAATCTGTTTATTATGTAAGCAGTGATACTCTAATATATTTTGTTTATTTACTACTATTAGGCTTCCCTCAAAATGCTGCAGCATACATTATAACCTTTTTTCACTTTGAGTTAAAGGTAATGGTTTCCTTTTGACATTAAGTCTAGTCATGTCTAACTCTGTGGGATGGTGCTCATCTCCATTTCTAAGCCACAGAGCCGGCATTGTCCATAGACACCTTCAAAGTCATGTGGCTAGCATGAATGCATGGAGCGCTGTTACCTTCCTGCCAGAGCAGTACCTATTGATCTATTCACATTTGCATGTTTTCAAACTGCTAGATTCGCAGAAGCTAGGGCTAACAGCAGGAGCTCACCCCACTCCCCGGATTTGAACCACTGACCTTTCAGTTAACAAGTACAGCAGCTCAATGGCTTAACCTGGTGCGCCACTGGGGACTCTTTTGAGTTTGGTAAGAAAAATAGGGGGGAAATGGGTCGGCCCAAAGTAACTCCACCAAAAAAAAAACAAAACAGAAAATGAGATAAGTGACAGAGAAGATTTGGGTGCTTAAGATAACCTAGTAAAGGCCATGGTCAAGGATTTAAGGATTGGTCCAAGGTCACCTAGTAAAGTTTTCTGAAGAGAAATTAGCTCAAAGTCATTTAGTAAACTTTATGTTCTGTGGGGAAAGCTATGATTAGAAAAGGGGAATAAAAGACTAGCTCGAGATGACCTATTAAGTTAATGGGTGAATGGAAAATGCATGTATCTAACCCTAAACCATCCCTAGTCTGGTGATAGTCTCTATACCAGGGATTGGGAAAGTGTGGCCAATGTATCACATATGCCCCTTGGGCTTGATTTCAGGGATGCCCTAGTCTCACCCAAATCCCTCATATTTTCTTTCTCTTTTTACTCAAAATACCCTTCACAGCCTTCTAGAGGATACAGAGGGTCATTCTGCCATGTTTAGTACCCCCTCCACAGAAATTTTACATCCAAGACAAGGAAGTCAGTTCTGGTGGTTAGTACTTAGAAAGGAAACTCTCAACATATGCCAGGTGTTGTATGCTATATTTGAAAGGAATGAACTGGCAAGCCACCTCTGAGTATTCTTTGCCTAGGAAAAACCTATGAAAGTCATGGGATGGCCGTAAGTCAACAGGTAGCCTAAAGGCATATGTGCGCACATGCATACACAAACTAGAAGTTGGGTTCTTGTTTAATTCTTTATTACACGGAATCATTTATCGGATCTAAACTGCTTGGATACAGGAGGGAAACATAATGAAATCTCCAAATGGGGTATGGTAAAAGGTAGAGTGCAGGGGTATATGGCTCCTATAGGCAGCCAATGCAGCTTCCTTACCACTTGAAAAAGCCTGCCTCAAAAATTAAATGTGGGACACCAGGACATCTTTCATACTACATATTTTACATATTTTTCAACTGTCCCAGTTTGTCAAGGACAGTCCCAAAGAAACTGCTATTGTTCCACTTTTTCGGCTGCTTTCATAATGTCCCAGTTTCCTTCTTTTCCCACCACCCTCTACTTTCCCCTTTTGTCCTCAGCTTACCTTGCGTTCAAAGTGGAAAAATAATTTGGTTCTGTTAACTGCGGAAAAAGAAATGGAAAATAGAGGTAGGATTCTTGTCTTTCTAGGGGACAAAGGAAAAAGCAAACCACAGTGGCCTGTCCCAAGTAGTATTTTTTTTCTCATTTGCCATCTTGATTACACTTTGATGATGCTTGGAGACAGCACTATGATTCATCTTAAGCTGTCATGGACATGTCCTATGGGATTCTGGGATGGGCAGTTTAGAGGGAATCACTTAAAATTTTCAACCAGAAAGCTGAAAATTGTTTCTCCAACTACAAAGCCCAGTTAAAGTGGAATCATCGTGCTATAATTATATAGTGTGAAAGAGCTCTAGTGCGCTGCCTTGATCAAAGTATGTCATAGGAATCTTCTATGCAAGTATTATCCAATTAACTCAATGAAAAGTTGAATTTATTGATGCACAAGAAGATGCACATGAGAAACTGTTGTCCTTCAGAAACAAAAAAAAGACTTTTGTCTGATAAAATGGTTTGATTAACCATTTTATTATGATATAAATGTTAATGGACCAGTACACCTCAGCATCATGAAGTGTTAACATCAATTGGCAGGAATAGACATACACACTCACTCTTGGATTGTAAACAGTGGGGACAGAGGGAATTGAAATGCATTATGATAATTAATATAACAGCAACTATTATCAATATAGTAACTTGCTTGCAACACAGACATTCTTGCTTTGATTTGCTTATTAACACAGTATGATGAACGTCTTCCTCTGTTTAGGCCATAGAAGATAGAGTTCTGCATGTTGATCATTCTTATTCAATTATTTCCTAATGAAATCTATCTATGACGTTCCTTTGTTTCAAGAATAACCAGACTGATGTCACCTACAGATCATCTTGGAAAGTTAAAATGCTCTGGTGGTTTTTGAACATCACTGCCTCTGATGTCAGAACTGAGTCATTTTTTCTTTGAGACTGGCTGTTTGCCCAATGTAGAATAAAGCATAGCATTGCAATTGATGGCAAAATCACATTGAAAGAGCTGAATGTCTGATATTGTGAGTGATATACTATGTCATGTAATTAATTTTTTTTTTTGCTTTTAAGTGTATTTTTAAGTTTTTATTTACTATAATGTTCACATATAACAAAAGCAGCAAAATAAAAACATGAAAGGAGGAAAATAATCACATTAGACTTATGTTTTTATAAAAGTTGATCAAATCTCCAAAGGTAAGCCCATTTGTAAATTTTGTAAAGTTTGCTCTTTCAAATGTTGCAAGCATTATTGGGTCTTCTAGGGACAAATTGTTTTTGCAGTAGCAACTACTGCTATGTTAGCAGTGAAACTAACCCATAAATCTTCTTCCATTTAACATTTGTTAATTCCCAAAACATAGGTAAGTAAGGGATTACAGTAACCACAGAACTATGGTTTTAATTTCCCCTGGAAGTAAGGTCATGCTTAAAAACTGGACTTTTATATATGACATAAGAAATGACAAATGTCCAACCAGGATTCTGGAAAGTAGGAGGCAGCAGGAATAACAGTGTAAACATACATTTGATAGTGAAGTACATAAAAGTATTTCAGAAGGAAGTTATTTTCCGCTTTACACATTAAAGCATAGCCTTTGATTGTGTAAATCATGAAACAATTATAGGTTGCTGTTAAAGAAATGAGTGTGCCAGCATTTGATTGCCCTGTACTTAGAACAAAAGACTACTGTCAGGACAAAATATGAAGAAATTGGATTTTTTACCACTTGTCAGGGAGATCAGGAAAAGTTGCATTTTATCATCCTAACTTTTAACTTGTATGCCGAAGAGATCCTATGTAAAGCAAGATTAGACCTGAAAGAAAGAGGCATGAAAATGGGAGAAAGGAACATCAACAATTTAAGAATATAGAAAAAAACTTGAAACAATTATAAAGGAGAGTTAAAGATGAAAGCACATAGTCAGGTTTACAGCCTAACATTAAGAAAACAAAAATAGTGCCCATTGATGATTTACATGTATTTTAATTAAAGAGTTTCTTTAATCAGGGTCAAACATTAATCAGAATGGAGACTACAATCAAGAAATTTCAAGAAGATTACACTGATACTTTGCAGCTTCAATATGACTCAAAATTGCAACAGCCACAAAACACCACTGCCAATGCATGCTGCAGTATGGATTTAAGGGTATACAGTGCTTTGAAGAAAGTCACAGGACAGTCTGAATTAGAGCCTTTAATGCACTACAGCTGATCCCAGAATATCCCGGATCCCAGGGTGAAATTGGCTCCACAGAATGAGAAATGCATTGTAGAAAACTGCCCTTGCTAGGGTGCATGGTAGAACCAGGGAGCACAGGGGCTGCCAAAAACATGCCTCAGGGGCAGGCCCGTAGCCAGGATTTCGTTTCGGGGGGGCTAAAAAATTTTCAGGGGGGGTTTCGGGGGGGGCTGAGTTTTGGGGGGGGCTGAGTCTGAGTGAAAGAGGGTCTAGCCTAGCAAACCTTTTGTATCATTACCCCAATACCCCCATACATATGGGATATATTGAGAATGGTGATCAAATCATGATATTAATAAACATAACAGTTTAAATAATGCACCAGTAAGGCCTTTTCGCGAACCACCATGAGAATTTCGGGGGGGGGCTGAAGCCCCCCGAGCCCCCCCCCCTGGCTACATGCCTGCTCAGGGGCATAGCTAGCTAGCTAACAGGGGGCTAATTGACCCCTGGGAAAGGTAAGTCATTACTTCCACTCCTAACTGTCACTTTCCTTGTTTTCACCTCGTATGCCTCTGGAGTCCTGGTGTGCATGTCTCCCAGAACTGGGGTAGGAGGGCAGAACAAAGCACTTTGAGACCAGTTTCTGTAGTCAATGTAATCACCTTCCTGGCCTCAAGCAAGTTCCAGACCTTTCAATCAAATCAGCAAAACTAGCGTCTTCCAAACCAGTTCCAAGCTGCATTATAGTATTAATTTAGATGTGTCCTATGACTTGGAA